CACCAATATTTAATTGCCATTTTATGAAAAAGTTTTTAACACTGATGTATTGTACTGCTAACAATGAAAATATGAATATAAAAAAACAATAAAACAAATACTGTTTTCCCATAAAATCTGTCAATATATATTTACTCAATAAAAAGCTTGAAATTATGATTAAATTAATTAAATTAAGGGAGAATTAAAGAATATTTAAATGTATTAAATTGAGCTGCAGAAACACCCTAATGAATCATGTCAGAATTCATATTTAAAATACACGGATATGCGTGAATATCAATTATATACGTGGGCAAGTAAACATAGTAATTATTATTATATGTGCACAATAAGTCGTTATAATTTGTATGCTCGTGAATTGTGTCATGAAGAATCAGTCGCTTGCAATACTTGCAAGCTTATTATATTTAAAATACAAGGATATGAAACTTAAAACTCTCACTATATTAAATATAACTTAGCTTGTGCTTACAACATAAAAAATACATTAATAAGTTGCAGTAATTGAAGATTATTATTAATTAATGATAAAAGTTTAAAGTGAGTAAAAAATATTCTAATTTCTTGCATTGTTGCCTTCAACTTTGGTACTAAACTTTTATAAAAGGTCAAACTAATTCTATGATTGATTTTTTAAAAGAAATATTTGCAAGGAATTCAATCAGAAGTAATACATTTGAGCATCTAAGGCATAAGTTAGAAAACAAAAGATTCATATTTACTGTAACGTGTTCAAAAATTAAACAAGTGATTGGTGATTACAAAAGGTTAGCTGCCTTAAAAGCATCATGAAACTTTGAGACTGCTTCTCGATGTTTAGGCAACTTTGCCTGCAAAAGTTTTTGTCAGATTTAGAATTTACATATGTCAAAATATTCTTAAGAAAGATAAAATGAAAATGCATACAATGGAATCTTCATACAAGAAATGCAAAAGATCTATTTTCAAACAAATTTTAAAATTATATTTTTAGCAAGAATTTCAAATTCTCAATTACAAAATTAAAAGTATTAAATAAAAACTCTAAAAGTGATTAAAGACTTATAATGCGTACTCCAATGTAGTAGAGAACAGTAAGATGTACGAAGACGTATTGACCCTCAGTTTGAATACTTGATGCCCGGTACTGTCGTAATTCCTTCACCATTTCTGGTATCTCAAAAAAAAAAAGAAATACATCGATAATTTCTGATATTTCTTTCAGTATATAATTTTCAGGAAAGTATTAAGCTAGTAAGACAATGAAGTATTCTTCTGAACAGCAGATTCTATTACAGCGATTCAATGTTTCAGAATTGAAACAATTGAATTGAAACAACTCATTGAATTTTGATTCAAATCAAAACAGTACCTAACTAATAATAATAAAACCTAGCACAACACATCAAATTCCATTATAGTTTTTGTTTTTGCATATTGTATTAATTATGCATTATTCAATTATTAAACATAAATGATCACATTTAAAATCAAAAAAAAATCTTACATTAAGTCTATAACCTTTCCATAATCGTTGCAAGCAAGTTTCAACCAAAATTACAGTTCCAGTTCTTCCAATACCTGCTGAGCAGTGCACTACACATGGACCATTCTGTTGATCAAGTTTACTTTGATTTATTTGTACTTACGTGAAGCGCTCAAACAATAAACGAATGATATTTAATTACGTACAGGTTCAATAAGTTTTAGCATTCTTAATACGCTCATCCCACTTTTTGGTACTCCACGATCAGGCCAATCTGTCATCTGTATCAATTTCAAGATAACTGAATTGGCAGAACCCTCTGGAATTACCTCGATTGTATTCTTTGTAAATTTATCGTCCTTTTCTACCTGTAACTCACTTGATTACATTTGGTTACATTCTCTTGTAAAAATAATTATCAACAATCACTGTTGTCTTATAATCACAATATGACATTAACATCATCTTATAATCATATTCGTGATTTTAAGATGATGTTAATATCATACATCAACCATTATTCTTGCGTTACAGAAAAATAATGATTAATTAGCATCTGATATAAAAGTTATTAGAGTTGTATTAAGTAATTATGCAACAAAACTCTGTGGATACACAACAATCTTGTATGATTATTTTGCATTAATTTGTTTTGCAAAAGCAGTATAAAACTCTGTACAGATAAAATTGCATTGCATAATTGCTAATAAAACTTTTCTAATTAAAGTTTCTGTTATTAATAAAACTTTCTAATTAAAATTTTTGTTAATTTTTGTAGAATTACTCTCAAATAATATCGCATAAATCTTTTATCCTTTTGCTTTATTCATTAATGTGTGTTAGATATAATTAATATACTTGTTGAGGTAATGACTGTTTTCAAACTTTTTGTATTTTTAATTTATCGAAAAGAAATGTGTAAATTTAATTAACCTTTTTATTACTAACATACATACAGCCGTGCTTTCTCCTTGAGCCATCTTTTTCAGGCCAATACTGTACACATTTTTGCTTATTATCTTCAACTGTTTTAGCTAACATTAATATCGTTTTTGCTTCCTCTTGATAAATCATACGCCAGAAATCCCCAACAGTTGATTCTAATGGGCCCTATAGGTTTACAGATGTTTAATCTTTCCTAGCATACTGTAATAATTTTTTTACTTCAGAAGTATCAATTAAAGATATCTAAAAATTTTACTTCAGTTTTAATTCTAAATTAACTTGATGTTTGGAAACACCAATTTCCGATTGTATTTGACTATTTATTGCAAGACACAACAATTTAAAAAGTAACAAATCATGCTAGAATTTGATATTTTGATACTGTAATGTGTTAAAAAATTGTAATTTTGGTGAGAATTTTCGTTATTTCAAGTAAACAACTTAAACTTGTTTTTTAATTTTAGACTACAAAAACTTGACTTAATTACTGAAATTAATCATAGCTTGTTTGGGTATGAAATTAATTAATTACTCATTAATTGTTTAATTATGATACAAAATGTATTTTATGGTATTAGTTATTTCATTAAAAGTTCATCAAAATCCAAGTTAATAACAAGATAATAAAATAATATTTTTAGATATTAGGAATATATTTGAGATTAATTATCCAGCACCATGTTACAAATTAATACTATGATATATAGTAAAACAATAGGTTAGAGGTTAATGTTAATATTAATGAACATTAATAAATTAATGAAGCATTACGAATGGTCATTACTTGTGTCGCAATAAACACGTGATCAACACCCCATAATTTAATCCAGTTTGCATGAATGTAATCGGTCTCAGGTGGAACGTTTAAAGTAAGTACTACACGAGTTGAATCCAAGCAGACTACATCCTTGTACCGATTTCTATTAAAATTAGCCAAGCACTGATTGTGGTGAAAGTTTGGAGGAATAAAACCTTTCAAGTTTGCAAATTCTTTACGTAATCCTTCTATACCTTAACTTTAAAAGTTTTTATTAATCTATGCAAAAAACTATTCATATGAGCAATAATGATGCATTGAATCTTTTTTTTTAAATGTTCATTTTATACTTTTCAGTGGCTTAAAACTTTTTTTTTGACTTGACCTTCTATTTTTCAAGCTTTATTCATTTTTTATTACCTGCAGCACACGACCTTTCCACAAATTCGTCTATGACTAACATTGCACTGTCACTGATGGCAACTTTTCCAAGCACTACAGTCTCTATCGCACTGTTTGTTTGGATTTGTCTGTTTATGCTCTAGCAAAGGTCATCTTTATAAGGTCAGATTGCAAAAAATTAATCACAATGTATTGGTTAGAAATGATTCTAAATTTTCTCTTCAATGTTAGAAATTGCGCTTTCAAGTCATCTGGTTAACAAATGCTTTTGATTTCATATTACACAACTGAATATGCCTTCAGCCTCAAATTTAAAGTATTTCAATCTATAAACATGACAGTTTATCAATATTTTGTATTTAAGTTTATTTTATGCTAAAAGAATCCATCTCTTAAGTCTTAAATCTGAATATTGTCAAAAACAAAACATAAAATAGTTTGAAAGACTTGAAATATTTGCCTTAGAATAAAAGCGTAACTTTTAATTTACAAAAAAACTGAATATTTAAAAATTTAAATATCAGAAATGAATAATTTCTTCTTGGCCTTACTAATCTAACCTTTGTTAACTTACTTTGATCGATAGTTAGCTGAAAAGTTTCAATCATTAAGCAAAAATCAGAATAATTAATCTTCAGAAGTTTAATATTTGCTTAAAACATAATTTTCAGATTAAGTATAAAAATTTGCATTTAATTTTGTCCTGAAATCATATATTCAAATAATTATGGAAAATATCAAATAAAGCAAAATTTCGCACAATTTTCGCTACAAAAGATATAGCAATGTTTTTATGTTTAATAATTTTACCTTATTTAAATTTTATATAACTTTGATCATCATATGAAGCAGAAACTTTAATGAATACTGCAGATAACAAGAATATAAAAGATTTGAAGTATTGAAGTTCAAAACATATTTATGTTAATATTAGCTTTATACGTCATAACATTATCAATATTAAATGTTCTATTAAAAATCAAATGTTTTATCCATTTAATGAAAATTTTCTCTGCAAACAAATAATTTTATATGTACAGCAAGTAAAAATACTCATTTTTTTTAAATAAAAATCATAATTTTAGCAAAACAAAATATTATGCAAAAATTTATTTAATTTATTCAAAAGCAAATGGCGCAACAAATTAATTATGCCTTCGAAGACAATTTTATCAGTTAGAGATAAATTTTAGACCCAAAAAATTTCTAATTTTCAAACATTCCTAACTTCAATTATTCTGAAAATCAGACAATTTCAGCAGTTATAATAGCAATAATTATTCTATTTTAGTTCGTTCTATCTCTATTATTACTTCAAGCATTATATAACCTGCTACTTGCAATCAAGTAATGCTTGCAAATCGCAGAATAATAATTTTATTTTTTTGTTTCAAAAAGCAAATTATTTTTTCCGTAAAATATTTACTATAATTGTGCTATTTATATTAATTTTGTCTTTTTTTCTTTTCAAAAATTAATACAAAAAAAAACATTTAAAAATGCTTTTGAATTATGCATAACAGCACGGAAATTTTTAACCTTTAATATAAATACACTTTTAATAGTACGTAAAGCTTGTCTTGTAAATAATTTAAACTTTTAACTAAACTTTGAAAAATAAGTTAGTAAGTTTCACTTTCACAGTTTTTCGTATGATCCGATTTTGGGATTCATTACCATTTTTTGACGTATTCAGTGAGCTCATGCCATTTGTCTCATCACTTTTTGGGTTTATTTTTACTGAAATTTTTTTTTTGCAAACATAATTTTGCTTATTATATTCGTAGAAATATTCATAAAATAGTATATGAAATATTATAAGTAAAATATTATAATATTATAAGAGTCACACCTCTCGAAGAACAAAGTATCGTGCAAAGATTAACTGCAAGATTAATTTATTTTATTAAAACTTATATTAATTAAATTATATAAGTGCAAGGATTAATTTAGGTTAATTTGAAATGGACAGCAGAACCAATTATTGTGCTAATTATGTACACAATTTTGTCATTTTTGAGCCAAAGTTAAACAATTCAAATGAGTTTGCAATACTTAAATTTTATGCATAATTAGCTAAATAGTTGAACATTCTTGGACATATTCAACTAATTGCTTTATTAATCAGATCAAATTATTAACATTAATAAGAGGGTTATAAATAAGTTTACCTTAACTTCCTTTCAGAATTTTACTTTCGATAAATTAGATTTTCTACAAGTACCTTGCTGATTCTTATTGTTGTTTTTTGTCGCATCCATTGCGTTTTGACGCTTCATTTTGTCTACTCTTCACGAGAAATATGTTAAAAATATCTTATCAGCCCCAAAACACTCCATTTTATGCTAACTTTTTGCAGAACTTTTGCATATTTAAAAAAACAAAATGTATACATTTAGTATGGCTGAGTTAATTAAGCATTACTCATTATGCAAAAGCTGCTAAATTTATGAAATCGATTTGATTAGATATAATTTTCAAATAGTATAAAGTATAAATCACTGCTGTGAATATTGAGCTCGAGATAGGTTTGTTAAAAGTATGACTGAGTCTAAAAAGTCATCAGGTGAAACTTATTACACTCCTTCAGAGGTGACAGCAAAGGTGAACAAACTAGTTCTAGATGTTATTACTAAAGCTGAAATGGTATCTTTTTACTTTAAGCTTGAAAATATTGTAAGCAAATTTGTCAAGTTTTGATATGAACTGTCTCAATCTGATTTCTGTAAGTCTAAATAGACTGCAGAATATTATTACTCAAAAGATAAAAATCAAAAATTTATCTTTCCACGAAATATTTTGTTAGAAATAATGACGAAAACATTATTACTAAAGTATTCTCATATTTATTTTAATTAATTCTCTAAATTATTTGTTTAATTCTCGTACATTTGAACAGAAAATGATCAATTCTGAAAAAATAGCACTAATATACCACAATTAAAGTTTCATGAAATCCGTGTAATCGTTAGTCTAATTAATATTTATGGTTTTGACAGGTACTTAAGCAACTTCCACAGCATGGAGCCCAAGTGATGGTGACTATGAAAGGTGCAAAGCATGTTCAAGGTTCAGAAGAACACTGCATGCCACATTTGAACCAGAGTAAGATTGTTCTTCGATACAACATATCAATGATTGTTTCTTCGATTTTTTCAATTTATCAATAATTTAATAAAGACTCTTACTTAATACAATGATAAGTATATTTGATCTCCAATGTCTTCATCCATTCTATACTTTACTATTTGTATTCTCTCTTAGGTTTGTCAATGAAATCACTGAAAGATGCTGGAAAGATGAAGAAGGAAGCATCACGTAGTTCAGGCCTAATTTTGAACAAACGACCTGGAGTACATTACTTGTATCATGATCGTTTCTTCAAGTGTGGTGAACGCAATTTAGTAAATATTCTTTTCTTTTCCTTTTTTTTATAGCTATGAGAAATTAAAAATTTTCATTTTGCTCATTATCCCTAATTATTAATTAAAGCTAATTTCAAAAACTGATTTCAAATTTAAAAAAATATCGTTGAAAATTCTGCTTGATTACAGGTTGCACGTGAAATTTGGCCTTCAGATGGTGGATGCATCGAATTGGATCACAGTGAATTGAGACGCTTCATTTTGAATAATGAAGCTAAAAAGTGTTACATTATTTAATCTAATACTTGATAATAAGCTAATATTCATTCCCACAATTAGTAAGAATTATTATTCATAAAAGTGTCTTATCGTATTCAAAAAAAAGAAAAAAAATAATTAATAAAGTTTAGAAAGAAAAAAAAAATATCTGCCCGAAACCAAACTGTGGGAAGCACCGGCAAAAATTCAATGACTGACAAAGTAATGCAAAAAGAAGCCATTCAAGAATCAAAAAAGTAAAATTATGCAAATTTGATCTATCACTTCAGAACTTGCAACCAAAGTAAACTTATTCGGAGTCATGTTAAAACCGTACTTAATACAACAAAATAAAGTAAAATTTGAAAATTAAACCATAATTAAACCATAATTAGCGTTAATTAAACCATTTTAATTTAAACTAAAAGTTTTACAGCAAATTAATATAAATTTCAATAAAGTAAAATAGATGAAAATTAACGCAAAAAAAATTTAATTTATACGGAGACTTAAGTTGAAATAGCAAGCTATTTTTTAATCATAAAT